TCCCGTCGCCGTTACGGCTATCCCGTTACCCATACCGTACCGTCAGGCCCTTTGTGCTGCACTCTGATGGCCGTAATATCAATAGCCGTGACTGTAGCCTGCCTGTCAAATCGACAGCCATTGCCGTTATGGCAACGGCTGGCATCCCTAACCTTTACTCTATAAAGGCTCCCTCACCTCTGAGTGAGTTATTGGGAGATTGACACAAAAGAATACATGACATATATACAGGCATATGGGATGTCTAAAAAATGAATGGCTTCCTCAGAGCTATGATAGACATTCAATAGTCTATAGATATAACACACCTTAAATCATGTTTATACATGCATTCCTCACCCAGAAGTATCAAGTCATCATTGTGCTTAATCAAACTTGAAGCGGAAAAATAATAGAAAGATGGTATAAGAGTATATTCTAAAAGATATAACACCATATTTATATCAGATCATATCAAGACAATATAATCACCTACCTACTAGTGAAACAATCATCTGAATCTAAAAGGAATTAAGAGAGATATTGCTGAATCAATAGGTCTGATGCACAATCATTAGTTAGTATCTATCTACTGATGATATTTTGTTATTAAGAATATTGATCTCACCATTCAGTATGCTCAGTAGTACTTCAATCAACTGTGTAACCTATCCAGTTTTTGAGATATCATTTTATTAGTTGTAGATCAGCTAGTAATTAGCTAGTGCTGGCATAACAATTCAACTGGGACAAAAGGTTGCTTAAAGAAAGTTGTTCGTGTAATCAAAGGATACAACTTTGATTTTGTGACGATTTGTGACATTCACTGATGATCATGGGGGCGGGGCTCTTGGACTGAGGCAATTGCTCGGCGTTACGGGGACGGGATCTGAGCCCCGCGATGGCTTTGGCGATGGCTCGGTCCTGGGGACCGGGCATCCGGGTACTGGGTGATGTCAAGCACTGGTACCCGGGTGCCCATTGCTCACATGTTGCGCTGGCGTGCTGGTCCGCGCCGGTCGCTGGATGATGGCGTTGATGCGGGTGATGCTCCGCCTGGCGTCGGACAGCCTGTCAATCACCTGTGGCAACAGGTGATGGATTGCTAATTAGTGCTGCTAATTACCTGACATTAAGTTGCTCAGCGGCAGTTGGCTCTAACCCCTCTACTTAGAGGGGGGAAAACATATATTTACCACTTTTATTTAGAGGGGATAGGTGGGCTATATAGGTACGCTGAACTCAGGCCAAGTGTCTCGGGTCTTTAATTATTCATTATTCTCAGTCATATTTCTTGATGATAGAGGCTGTAGAATGATCTTCTATCAGATGAAATATTCTTACTAGAATGATGAATGTAGTCAGGGACTATAAATCAAAGTAGAAAACATCAACTGATGTTGAATATTCACTGCTATATCCCTCAGTTTGACCACTCAACTGGGGATATAGGAACTCTGAACTTAAATAGTACATAATAGATACTAGTATAAATATAATCAAATGTACAAGCCTGATAATATATTATACTGCAATTCTATTATATTATACTTGTCAGGGGAGTGAGTAATTTCCTAGGAATTACTCACAGCTGTTTTAAAACCGGTTTTGAAACAGGGGTGTTTTGAAACCGTTTCAAAACTGGCAGGCTACTAGGCTGGACCACTCTGTTGGTAGCCGGCCAAGGTGCCAATCGAGATCCCTACTCATGCCCACCATAACACAGCCTTTGGGTAATTTTAAGTCATTTATCACTGATTTTCAGATGTAAATTATGGCCTTTGGCTATGATTTCAGCTAACAGAAATCTTTACATTTCTGATTAAAAAGATTTATTCTAATAAAAAAACTATCATAAAATGGTTACAGTCCACCTTTTTATATGTCACTAGACAGGGCTGGGGCCTGATTAATATGATTTTCTAAATTATGAAAATTCCACTAACTATAGAATAGCATACAGGTGCCCAATGAGTAAAGTTTATATACTTATTCATCAATTTATGGGCAAATGGAGGATGCGTAGTAAACCTTTTGTATTGGCATCTAGATATGATGTGTTTATGGTACTGGGTGCAAGAGATCACACACAGCTTTGCATCCTGATGATGAGAGAGAAATCAGATGTATATAATAGCACTCAGGCCCTTTAGGGCCTATGTGGCTACTGCTGCCTACGTATCATACATATAAGTAAGGTAAGTAAGTATAGCAATGAGGATATCTAAACATCTAGCTAAATTGGCCATGAATGTATTTAAGTGTTGTGCTGGGGGGAAAATTGGCATGTCCTCACAAGGCTCCGACGAGAGACAGACATTCCAGGGAGGGGGGGAGGATGGAGAGAGAGAGAGAAAGAGAGATGTAGATACATAAAATGAAAGGTTGCACTGGGGGATTAGTCTGGTGTAGTTGCATAATCACATGAATAATGGGGAATCGCCGGGTCGGTTCGACATACGCCAGCAGTGCCAATGATGATTGGTCACACTTCACAGCTTTTCTTGCAAGTTTAGGGTTTTAACAATGGTGATTCCAAAATGAAAGTGTGGCGCAAATAAATTGCTCAGGCTGGTGCCAAACATGTGCATATGTATATACATTCACATGACATTGGCTTAATCTAACAGTAATACAAATTTTCAAAGTTTCACATCCTAATAGGACAATTTTGTATCAATTTGAGCACCTTTAACCTGTCAGATCTAGGGAGAAATAATATAAATTGTTATTTCGCAGGCAACTTGGATATCCCACGCACAAAATGATGTATAAAGTCATTAAAAACAAATAAACTGCCAAATAAGCTATCTCATAACATTCTCTATGTCTGCTCTCTGATCTGACTGTTGCTCCAAACCCAAATCAACATGTCTCAATAATGCCAGAACCAGAACAAAACATATAGAACCCAAGGCTGCCATGATCTGTGGAGACCAATCAATAGGACTTACTATATCAGAGTAGACAGAATATTTACACCAGCAAATGTTGCTGGGCGCCACCAATGATATTCCTGTGTTAAGAGTGCACCATGTATTGGTGGTCCAGTCAGGCCAGCAAATGCTACAATGGCAAAAGAGAAGCCAATCCTTAGGCTTGGGCACAGCAATAATTAGACCTGATAGAGAGAAGCATGGAAATTTGAAATCTTACCCAAGTTCCCCAATATTAGATGTTAACAAAGCCACAAGTGGGGACATGAGGGTTATCACTAGTAACAATATATTTAGTTACACTTAGCAAGTTAGGCTAGGGGCATTGAGCAGTGGGACTCACCCATGCCAGAGAAGTATCCATAGATAATTCCAATTACCACAACACTGGTAACACTTCTCAAGGCAATCATACTGAAAATCAGGATGCTAGAGCAGCTTGCTGCAATAATGGCCAGGTGGATGACTCCATAATTTCCCAAATATGGCAGGAAGAAGGTTGGAGAAAGACGACCAATAAATGCTGTGCCATTCATGATGACCAGCTTATGTAAATCTTGAGATACAGATCAGAGATGGGTTGGGACATACTGAGTAAAAGGCAAAATTGTCTGGAATGCCATGTTGAAATGCATCCAGCTGGAAATAGAAGAAAGGGAAGTATAGCCCAACAGAGATGGTTAACATTCTAATAGAATTTAAGTCATTATTCTCTCAGGAGATTGAAGATATACCCAAGCGTGCAGATTAAATACTTTTTATCTTTTGAAAAATTCTGGATTGATGCCCAAAGGGAAGGGGATGTTGGTGGTGGTAGCAGCCTTGGTTTCATCAATAGACATGCCAACAATGTAATCATGCTGACAAGGCCAGCACTTGCTCTGACAGCTGTGGCAAAGCCAAGTTTATGCAGAGTATTGTTGAGCATGATGGGATGCACCACTGCACCCAGAGAAGAGCCTGCTGCAACAATAGACATGACAAGTGCACGACGGTGGTGGAAGTAGTGTGAGACAATTGAAATGGAAGGCACATATACTAGGCCACAGCCTAGTCCATAGCCTATCCCCTGGGCTAGGAATATCTAATATAAAATCAGGGATAGAAACTTGAACAGGATGAAAGGCTTGGACCTGGTAGAGTTGTTGTTGCTTGCAGAGAGAAAGCATAAAGATGCTGAAGCACTGGAGCAAAGATCCACCATATAGCAGGGGATAACTGCAGTAGTCATAAAATTAAGAACCAATATTTAGTAAAATGTATGAAGACATACAAGTAGCCACGGTCATAAAGCCGTCCGGAAACAAGGCCACCAGAGACAATGATAAAAGAGCAGACACTTCCAATCCAACTTCAAAAAAAAAAAAAAATTGTGAGGGTCTACTGGAAAAATTATTAAATGCATACGAGATTGTAGAGGGACTTGAATGTGACAAATATTCCCTGGTGTAGAAATCTAAGGCTGGTTAGAGTGCAGATTATCAGATCAGATTCAGAAGCTTACCCTCATACACACCAAATGAGGTGGTATACCTGGGAGAGATTGAATTACAGTGGCACTCATAGACACTGAAAACCAGTAATCACCCAAATCCGCAGAATTGGATAAGAAAACTGCCGGAATCAGCATCAGTATATGGATCATCCACTGAACTTGAACACGTACGCTCCCAAAACCGTCAACCATGCTCTCAACCCGCCTTCGGGAAAAGCATCCGCAGCTGGTGCTATATTTGGACTGCCAGGACTGTTGTCGTCCGAGCCTTCAGACTTGTTGGTTGGGGGGCATTCGGAGATGTGAGCGCTACTGCCAGGGAATTTCGCGGTCGACTCCATGACGGGGAAGGGGAATGAGGTGAAGGGGAAGAGTCAAGCACCTCGCGCAACCCCCGGGTCTTCTCAACCGGAGTTGATGCGGATGCATCGATGTGGCATGATAAGCAAGGCTTCCTCGCTTCTCCACACCTGAGCGACGTGGGGTTTCGGGCCTATCAGTATTACGGGCTGGGTACATCATACATGTCCATCCATCTATAATACAGCATCTACAAACACAAAATTAATACCAAGGACTAACCTCAAATCTCAACAGTGTTCCGTCTCTTTCACAGGCATCAACGTCAGCTCTGTGTCCTGATCCGAGTCCACGTCCTGCATCGTATGCACCGCAACCGAGACAGAGATGGGCAGTTGCTGTGGTGCTGTTGCCGTTTGGCGGAGTGCCTATATATAGACATATTGTGAGGTGAGATGCCAACAAATTTATGAGAAGTACACACAGGATTTGTCCAGCTGAGCATCTGCCCGTTCTTGTTATCACGCAGCTCGCGGAGGACGGTGCGAGAGTTTAAGCTAAATTCCGCGTAAATCAGAATATAGTGCTTCCTGTGGAGGAAGAGCTTTACCTTGCGAAAAAGGAATTGGAGAACACTGAGACCAATCAGTCGTGTTCCACAATGAGGGAGAGATGGGGACTTCCTGCGAGCGGCAAGCGTTGAGAACGCAATCCAGATAACTACAATGTGCCGCTCATCGGGGGAGCTCAGTGGATGGTGAACAACGCACAGTTCTTAGGCATTGTGTGGAACTGAAATGCTCATGAGTATCTCCGTTGCTTGTTGCATCACCAAGAGCTTACCAGGATGACCGTTATGAGCGAAAACGATCTGTTATTCGGATGAGATGCTGGGCCAGTTATCACAGTTGTACTTGCGAAGTGATCAATCCAGTTTCTGCGGAAAGCCCGATTAGAACGACAGCACAACAGAAAATTGGTTTTACCCAGGGACCACAATATGAGTTTGTCCAAAAACGTCCTCGTCCTAATATTATTGATCATCAGACGGGGAAAACAACAGAACGATAGCACCTACGACTCGTGCACCCGCCCGCGCTCCTTCCATAAGAGATATACCAATGTTGCGGTGATGATGACGTCCGCCGTTGCGCTGAGGGACCACATCATGACTCCGAGCCACTCCCACCGGGTGCCAAAGTCGTTGAGGGACTTAACGCTGAAGCCGACCGCAAATAGGGCGGTGCCGCTGGCGAAATGGACACTGGAGAGGGCCCAGGTGAAGTACGGGATGAGACGCGAGCGCGAAAGGACGTAGATGCGGTAAGAGAAGAATATTTGCACTGTATCTGCGTTAGTGACAAGCACAATTGATCGAAAAAGTGTGGCACACACCGACGACGGCAATGAGGAGGGAGAGGAAGATATAGCCGATAATGGCGCGGTCGGGTCGCGCAAGGAGCGCCTCGGGGTGTCCATAGTCGCGGATCAGCAACAGGTACAGTGTGTGCGACAGCGCACCCATGTGCGCTGCCTCAGCGCACCACACCAGGACTACAGTCGCTTTGATCGCCCAGTGGTCGTCCGGGAAGCGCTTGTAATAGATGTACGCCTGCGCCGTGGTAACTCCAAACAGAATCTGGCGCAGTTTGAGTGCTTGTCGCGTCCGAGGCAAAAAAAAGCAGGGAAAAACGGACCGAGCCAAGCAGCGTCCCAATGAGCAGCGCCCCTAAGCTCTAGTTAGCTTCGCGGATAGTAAGGCTCGCCGCGAGACGCACCAAGGGTGGGGTTTGGGTCGAAGGCCTCCACTGTCTCCACAGACATCGCCGCGACACGGGTCTGCTAGCCGGCCTATATGTATAAGCCAATGGCCCCGGGTACATCGTCACCATGCCGTTCTTCTCCCGCACCGTGGTCCGCCATACAGCCTGAGCCTTCGACGGTGTGCAAGGGGTGATGCCATGATGCACGCGGGGCAGGGGAAGATGTGCAGAATGACAGGTCAGGGGAGGTTTGTGCTGTGCATGTGTTCCGACGTCAATGGGCGAAGCACTGAAGCACCAGACGCTGAGCGACAAGCTATGAATAGCAGATGTGGTTGGTGGTGGTCAAGAGTGACAACGTGGGAGCAAGTCATGGTGATCACGCAATTGATTGAGCTTAACCAAAAAAGATGTTTCGGTCGTAAAAATCACCCCCAAGTAAGTAAGCAATTGGGCCGAAAAACTCGAATTTTTTGTACGACAAAAAATGAATTCCAAAACTACAAGTTTTACTAACTTTATTTTGAATCACGGAAGTGTACTTGTATGGCGGTCAAAGTGGGGAAGTATTATTTTTGCACACACATTGTAAAATTTTGAGTTTTCCGCAACATTTTGAGCTAAAAGCTGTTTTCCGCAACTTTATCTTCTAAACTTGGCAAAAAGTTGCGGATCACAGCTGTTCCCAAAATCCGCGAAATATATTCAGAGTGCATAATTTTTCCGCAACATTAATCAATCCACAACATTATCTTCATTGTCAATTCTACTATCTACTATCTGCTTCAAGTTCCCGCTGCCATGCGCGGCATCGTCAACGTCGTCCTGATTCGGCGCCGGTCCGGGGCCCGGACTTGCGCGGCCTCCGCCGTGGGAGGGTTCACCGCCACTAGCACATTCACAGCCTGCCCCACCGACCCCGCATATCGGAGGGGGGATGGCGGACCCATGAGGCCAGCCGAGGCCGCCGAGAAGGCAGGCGTTGCGCTGTATGCCCCCAGCAACTAACCCCGCCCACAACCGTCTCCCGTCCCGACGCCAGAACAACGGCGCCTGTTCGAGTGGAGTCCGCGACTGGCCATGGCCGGCCGAACCCGACGCCGCTGTCCGGGTCCGTGTCTGCGTGGAACAAGGTTAACCTGGCCACAGTAAGCAAGGACGTGGCTTCAGCCAGCGGTGAGCGCTACGGCATAAAACCACTGCTCATCACCAGCTCCGAGTCGGAGCTGACCAGATAGCGCCACCCAAGTCGAGTTGCGAAAAGTGTTGCGGGAAATACAAGGGAAATATAACTGTTGCGGGAAATGAATGTTGCGGGAAAGTTTGGAAGCCTGAGATATGTGACGAATTTTGACAGATGGATGTGATCCGCAACTTTCTGTCAATTTTGGGAAATAAAGCTGCGGAAAATGGTTTTTCATTCAAAATGTTGCGGAAAACTCAAATTTGTACAAAGTGTGTAGAAATTTAATACTTCCCCACTTTGACCGCCATAGTACTTCCTTAACAGAATCCATCACATTGATTTTAGTAGCCCGGCATTTGGTTCTAAGATCATGGGCCAGATCATAATTGTCCGGGTTTCAACTCCTGGGGCATATCCCTCTCCACATTTTGGATAGTGTGTATCTCGACCGCAATGGGCGGCAAGCGTGGTATTGTCACGGTCTGTCGCAGGTCCTGGGGGTGGGCTGTTACTAAGCCATGTGGCAGGCAGAAAATACGACCTACAGGATTTGTCCAGCTCAACATCTGCCCGTTATTATTGTCCCGCAGCTCGCGCAGCACAGTGCGTGAGTTCAGGCTGTTGGCAGTTTCAAATTAGTCAAAGAATGTGTGAAGGATGGTCCTCGGATCACCTTGCGAGCAAGGAATTCGAGAATACTGGACCAATAAGTCTTGCCGTGAAGCTTGTTATGAGGGTATACTAGTAGATAACTTACACCGGGCGCCAACGGTCGAGAATAAAATCCAAACAACTGAAGATGGGTGATATGTACAAGGGAAAAGTGATGCAAAGATGACTGACCATTCCCATGCAAGGTGTGGAACTTTCGTGGAATAAGCTGTTGTCACAAGTGAGAAGAGTATTCATGGAAACTTACTAGGATAAGTGTTACAAGCGAAAAGGAGCTGATTGTTCATTCAGATTTGCATATCATACTGGGGCTGGGGGCCTACGAGGTAAGAAGTCCTGTTTCTGGAACAGATTCAGTACTGTACAAATGCTGCGCGCAAGACTCTTTACCCAGCGACCACACTATGAGTTTGTCTAGAAAGGCCGCCGTCCTAACAGTAATTTGTTGAAAGCAATAGATGAGGCTGTTCACACATGATTTATGCACCATCCCCTTCTCCCTTCGCAGCAGATAAATCAGCGCAGTTGTGATTATGATGTCCGTTGTGGCACTTAGCGCCCACATCAGTATGCCGAGCCACTCCCATGTTGTGCCAAAATCGACGATCGAGTTGACGCCGATGCCCACCACAAACAGTCCGCAACCGCTGACGAGGAGCACGAGGGAGAGAGACCAGGTGAAGTATGGAACGTAACGCCAGCGCGCAAGCACGAAGATGCGGTAGGAGAAAAACATCTGCACTGGAACAATGTTAAGAGAGTCCTGTTGGAAAGGGAAGCAAAGATCAGCGCACCAACGACGCCAATGAGTAGCGTGAGGAAGAGGTACCCCTTGATGCCGTTGTCGGCCTGAGTAAGTGCGAGAGGGTTCCCGTAGGCCTGGACAAGAATGATGTAAAGCGTGTGGGTAATGATACCCGTGTGTGCTGCTTCAGCGCACCTATAGACGATCAGAATTTCAGAATTTCCACCGTGGTACGGACCACGGCCATCTCGCACCATACAAAGACGACCAAGGCTTTGATCGCCCAATGGTCTTCCGGGAACCGCTTGTAGTAGATGTACGTCTGGGCCGTGGTGACTCCGAAAAGAATCTGACGATGCCTTAGACATGTGGTTGGAGAGGGAGCTGAAAGAATACTGAGCCGAAGACGGTCCCAAAGAAAAGCGGTCCTAGTGTTTAAAGTCGGATTAGCACGGTGAAGACAAGGAGAAAACTTGAAAGCGCACCAAAGACTGAACTGACAAGGGACTCGGAATCCATTGCCGACATGATTCTATGCCGAACGCGCTAGTTGAGCTGAGGAGGGGAAAGGCAGCAGATTTGTGGGCCACGACTCTATGTAGCCACCAGTAGACCAGGCAGTGCGTCGTCATCATATCCAACTTGCCCGGGCCCGCACCACAATTCGATGCCGCAGCATGCATATCGTTAATCAAACTGGAGTGTGTTGGGAGACACGGGAGAAGATCCAGTCACAGCCAAACGCCAGCAGATTCTCGCTATTCTGGTCCGAGCCGTCCATCCAGAGAGGAGCAGATGGCCGTTGTGGTCAAGATGGCCCGATGACAGCGTGGCAGCATCATCATCGCGCCGTTGATTAGCGGATCCCCGAGCACAGCCACACCATCTTTTCTCATTCAACCCCCTCGCTCGTTTGGTGTGGTTCGCATCCATCCATCCAGGCCAGGCGGCGAAGTGCAAGATAGTTCCTATCATGATCCTGTTGCTGCTATTGCGCGCGCATTGAAACGCGCCGTCGCCCGAAACCAGCCCGAAGCAACGATCTGTTATATGTGGCCACCGGGCGTCTGTCTCTCTCCCCACAGCTTCCCGAACAGACGCGGACGACGATGGGTTTTGTCTATCCTCCGCTAGACGGCTCGCTTAACCTCGCTCAAGCGCTGGACTTCCACATTGTACAGCAAAACAACACTCCCGCCTTCTCCTGGGGCGCCGCGGACGGAACCTTGACGAGTATCTCGCACTTTGAGTTTGCGCGTGCCGCTCATCGTGTCGCGCACCTTCTCCGCCCCAACCGGGCGGGTGATGTAGACGGGGAGGTCGTGGCGATTGTGGCGGTTGCGGACACGTTGGTGTACCAGACATTGCTGGCGGGATGTCTCGTTGCAGGGCTCGTGGTGCGTGTCGGTCCCTTTCCCCTTTCATTCGGCTGATTATTGCAGCCCTTCCCCATTTCCCATCGAAATTCTGACCCCGCGCTGCATCACCTCCTCACGAAGACAACCGCGCATCGCGTCCTGACCCACCAGAGAAACGGTGGGCGAGCTTGTCGATAAACTTGCAGCAGAACTGAGCACGCAAACCACACCATATCTGCTCGTCGCCGAGGAGATCCCGACGCTCGCACAGATGTACCCGCGCCTTGGGCAGGAGACTTCTGCTGATGCGTTCACGTCTTACCCTTTGCCCGCCAAGGCGGCAGCATTGGATGATGTTGCGCTTTACCTCCATTCCAGCGGCAGCACCGGCCTTCCCAAACCCATCCCGATGTCCCACCATGCAGCACTGAGCATCGCTGGCCAGGACCTGCTCACAGAACTGCGCATACTGACGCCCCGGCTCGCCGTCGGGCCGCTCCCCGCTTTCCACGCGATGGGCTTCTTCACGCAATTCCTGACGCCCGTTTTTAACGGCGTTGTTGCGTGCATCTACCCTCCCGCCGGTCTTGCTTCTCCGGAAAAATACCATGCCCCTGTGGCAGTGAACCCCGTCAACGCGCTCGAGGAGACCAAGCGCGCACAGTCGAATGGGATATTGATCGTTCCGATATTCCTGATGCGATGGTCGCAGACCCCCGCCGACGTGGAGTATTTGAAGTCCCTCGACTTTGTGTCATACTCGGGCGGCCCACTCGCACAGCGCGTGGGCGACTTCCTGTACAAGCAGGGTGTCAAACTGGTCTCGATCTATGGGGGCACCGAATGTATGTTCTCAGATGGAACGTCGAGCTTAGCTAATTCCGTGTAGTCGGCGGCGGAAATACCTACCACAAACCGCTCTACAGCCCCGACTGGAGCTGGGTCGAGTTCAGTCCTAAGGTGAATGTGCGCTGGGTGCCTGCGGGCGAGGACACTTTCGAGTGTCAGTTCTTGGTGCGTTATGCAATATTTATTTTCTGACGTCGGTGACACTATTTTAGACAGGTGGTTCTTATTATCCTGCAATAGAAAACCTACCCGACACGCGCGGATATACGACACAGGACCTCTTCGAGCGACACCCAACGAAACCGCACCTCTACCGCATGTGCGTTATATCCCAATAATATATAAATACTGACCTGAACTAGTATCGGCCGCGCAGACGACGTCATCACGCTCTCCAACGGCGAGAAGGTCGTCCCGGGGCCACAAGAGGACATTCTCTCGACCTCACCACTGATCGCCGGGCTCGTTTTGTTCGGCAGGGGCCGCGACCGGCTCGGACTGCTCATTGAGCCGTCGGCCGCGGCAGAGGCTGTTGACCCTGCCGATGCAGCGAGTCTTGGCAAGTTCCGGAACGCGGTATGGGGCACTGTGGCGGAGGCGAACGCCGTGGCGCCGGCCTGGGGGAGGGTATACAAGGAGATGATACTGGTCACAGGTGCAGGGAAGCCGATGGCGAGGGCGCCGAAGGGCACGGTCGTCAAGAAGGCCACGGAGAGGTTGTACGAGGCCGAGATCGCCGCGCTGTACGAGACGGTGGAGGCGAGCGGAGGTCCAGACGGAGAGGTGGCCCCGCCGGGAGCGTGGAGTGTCACGGAGCTCGGGCCGTGGTTGTTATCGCAGGCGGAGGCGGTCTCGGGCAGGAAGTTGAAGCCCGATGCGGACTTATTTGATCAGGGTTTCGACTCCCTGCACGCAACTTTCCTGCGGCTGCGCATCGTTAGTGCGCTCCGCGCTGTCTCCGGAGCCGGCCCGGCGCTTGCAACGCAGGTGACACAGAATTTTGTGTACGACCATCCGTCGGTCGCGCAGCTCGCACTTGCTGTGGCGGCAGTCGTGGACGGGACGGCAGGAAGGGAGGACAAGAAGGCCGTGGTGGAGAGGTTTGTGGAGAAATACGCAGCCGGACTGGACGCGCCGATTACCCGCGTGCGCGCCGGAGGTATTAGTGTTGGCGCGGTGGTGCTTTTGACGGGGTCAACGGGTGGGCTGGGCTCGCATATCCTGGAGGCTCTGTTGCGCAATGAACAAGTCGCGCGAGTATATGCTTTCAACCGGCCCGGGATTAAAGGCGTCGCCGACCGGCAGAAGGCGGCCTTCGCCGATCGAGGGCTCTCAGAGGAGGTATTGTCATCGTCAAAGCTGGAATACCTCGAGGGAGACGCGACGCAAGCAGACCTGGGGATATCATCCGGCGTATTTTCCGAGGTACTTCCACTTTCTCGCCCGTCTTTTTCGGTCTAATTGATCCTGTAGTTAAAAAATTCACTCACAGTGATCATCCACAACGCGTGGACGCTCGATTTCAACAAATCCGTGGCGTCTTTTGCAGCACACCTTCAGGCGACGCGCAATCTCATAGACCTTGGCCGAGCAACGGACGCGCGGTTCGTATTCACCTCGTCTATCGCGGCGGCGCAGGCGTGGGACGCCGGTCGCGGGCCGGTTCCGGAGGACGTGCTGCCGGCCGAGAATGCCCTTGGCACGGGGTACGGCGAGAGCAAGCACGTTGCGGAGCGCGTCATTGCCGCGGCCGGCCTGCGTGCGACATCCCTCCGTATCGGGCAGATCAGTGGCGCGAAGAACGGCGCGTGGGCTACCGCGGACTGGGTCCCCGCGCTCGTCAAGTCGGGTATTGCCCTCGCCGCGCTCCCGGCGGCACCTAATTCCGCCGTGGCGTGGCTTCCGCCGTCCGCTGTTGCGCAGACTGTGCTGGACGTCGCGCTGCAGGCCGGGGAAGGGGAGCGGCCCGCGGTGCTGAACGTCGTGCACCCTCGACCAGCACCGTGGGACACGGTGTTTGGGGCGCTGGCGGAGGCAGCGGGGGTGCCGCTGGTGCCGATTGAGGAGTGGCTTGATAGGGTGGAGAGGGAAGGCAAGAACGCCGACGCGGAGATGCTGGCGCGGATCGTAATTATCGTCCTCCTGTTGTTGTGATTCCCGTGCTCACTCTTGTTGCAGCCGGCCATCAAGCTACTCGGCTTCCTCAAGGCAGCTGTGGGCGGAACAGGCGCCGTGCAGTTCACTACGGCGCATGCGGAGGAGATCAGCCCGGCGCTCAGTAAGGTGCCCATCCTGGGACCAGAGGAAGCCAGGCGCTGGTTGGGGTATTGGAAAAGCGTCGGGTTCATCTAGCTAGCTCTAAGATCTAATCAAGTGTGGAAATTCAATGCCTCTATCCATCCATCGCCATGTATATCAGTGCGTTGGTTGGGCCAGTACGTGAGGTACACGTGTCATATCATGATGGTAGCTGCTAGAAGCAGTGTTTGGCTGTTGGATCGCGAGTACGAGACATTTGGCTGCTAGCATTAGCGCTGGTTGCAAGGAAGGCAGTTCATCAATTTCTGGTGTAGAACATCTTCAAGTAGGCAACGGGCAGATTATCAGATAGAAGGGTTCCATATGCATGTGGGCTCCCTGTACTTATATACTGCCTGTCGCAAGATTCGCCCCCTTATGCCAACAACTGACAGCATCCTATAGCTCAGTTCAGTTTCAGTTTGTGATTGAAGATTCTGCAAGCCTAGTAAACTAACAAATGATATAGATTTTAACAGGATTTATTGCATTTCTCATATGCTTTGTATCGGCACTGCCAAATTCTGTGATGGAATCTATTTATATTGGAGCCTCAATGTACTTAAATATTTCCTTTTTGGGAAAAAGTGCTTATTTATTGTTTGTATCACTTTGATCACATCATCGATCATATCAATTTTCCGAAATACATTAAACATGCTGTGATCAAAGTGTTATTGTCACAAACAACACCAATTCAGAGGATGCCAGTTGGCCAGTGAAGGCAAGCAAGAAGCACCGTGAAAAGATATCGTAACGATGATGCAATTCGAAGACTGGGGTACAAGACAAAATCTACTCTACTTATATACACTACTACCATGTGTTTACCATGCCTAATACGAGAGGCAATGACGTCATACTTTAGCCATGCCTTTACGTGCTGTTTGCCACATGTCCAACTCCACGCTGTCAATCAACATCAGCATCAACATCTGATGATCCAATCACCATCTTATCGTCCATCTTATCTCCTCCTTGTCTTATCTTATCAACCAGGGCCAAAATAAAAGGTTTAAAGGGCGAAGAAAAAGGGTTTTTAAACCCAGGGTTTGACATTACCCCCCCTTCAAGGTCGATGTCCTCGTCGACAGAGGGCATTAAAGCACGTTCATCATCCACCCCCCCTTCAGCCTCCACAAAATGGCCAGTCTGATAATTAAACAGTTTCCGGGACGGGTATGGGAGCTTCTCTTGCGTCGGCTTATAGTGTTTGACCAGGTAATCCCAATGACCCTGGGCAAGGACAGGCACACTACGGGTCTTGGCTACTGGGTTCTTCTGGTTAAACTCGTCTAACAATTCTTGAGAGTTCTCGAGCCTTTGCGCAGTCTCCCATGTATCCTCGCTATGCGGATATCCCTTCCACTTCACCAGATACTGCCAACCACGACCACGCTTTCGCTTCTTCATAATCTCCTCAACCTCCCACTCCTCGTGATCATCCACAATGTCCGGTGGCGGCCTTTCTTCTTGCCGGTGGGGTGGTGGCTCGTGGTAGGGTGTCAGCTCTGTCTCATTATAGACTGGATGAGCCTGACTAGAACCTGGCATCTTGAGTTCGTATGCCAAAGGTCCAACCTTTGCCTCCACTTTGAATGGTCCCACACGTCGATCATTGAGCTTCTCGGATAGTCGATTCTGTTGCACTTTTGACCCTTCAACGTACACCTTGTCTCCGACTTTGAACTCAGGTGCTGGTACACGTTTCTGGTCATAGTACTTCTTCATCCGCTCTTGGGCCTTCTTAATTGCCACCGTTGCATCCTAGAATATCCGGTACTCCAACATTATAAGGAAGATGACTTATATAGCCAGAGACTCCAAGCTAAGGCTCTAGTGTGTCCATCCCTAATCCCAAGTCAATATAATCCCGATTATGCAGTGTATTTACTCATCAGTGGTATTTGATTTCCATCAACCCTGAAAGATAACCATGGATCTCTAGCTAGCCTGGGTGGATAAAGTTGGGAGGGAGTTTATTTGAAAGGTATATCATCCTACTATTAGTCTGCTCGGTCAGCTATCTCATCTGGTACCATCACATCAACCTATTGACTACCAAGCATGAATGAATACTGAGTTACAGAGTATTTTACTGATATCTCGGGACCCCATGCATGGGACTTCATGATCCATGTTGATATAGTACCATAGCATGGTCCACCACACACCTACCCATTCCCAACCATACAGCAAGTATTAGAGTTGGTCAATTACTGAAGACCTTTAGTGCTATATAACCTAGCATGGTGATATGCTGGTGATGAGGGGGCACCACTTTCTAGAAGGTGGATTATACCCCTACTAGTCCATGTACTCAGGTTATCCAGATTCACAAAGGCTATGCCATGGTAAACCCATCATGTTTGGCATAGATAACACTGATAATGGTACTGTGAGAGATCCAGATTAGTTATGAGGTTGATTCAAGTGCTGGACAGGTTCACTTAACAGTCTATACAACCCTACATTCAAGTCTTAGATCATACTTGAAATTAGTTTCTGACCAGTTGTAAGAGCAAAGGCACTCTCTTTTACTCTATGGGTACCTACTCTCTCTTCAGCTACTTTCTGTAACACATGCCAGAACCACAACTAATTACAGTACATAGTCCTAGTAGATATCCAAATATACTCATATGCACACCTCACTGTCCAATACTCAGTCTATAGACCTCACTATTCATGTAAACCAGTTTTGCACTAAACCTGTAGTTGAATGTCTGCCCCAATTCATCATTCAAGAACATACAGTCATCAATCAGAGTATGTGGGTACCTGGATATACCTCATTGACTACATTTGACATATTTTGATCCATAATCAACACATACATCATGGCTGTATTGTCAATATGATGTGTAATAGCAGTCATGTGTATAAATGAGAATTACATGAGATTACATAGATAAAACATTATGAGAAACATAATATCTCTTGGGGGTAACCCTCTGTATGCTTCCTACCTTTATCTCATGGGAGACTCCTTGCCTTCAAGTGAGATATTAGGAGATTAGCATAACACACAATATGTTATATACATAGGCATACAGAATGTCCAAATATATATATACCTCTCCAAGCTATTATAGGGATCCATCAAACTATAAAACAACTTAGATTATGATTATTCATGCATTCCTTACCCAGATATCAAGCTATCATTTTGCTTGATCAAATTTGAGATAGAAACACTACCAAAAAGTGGTATAACAGTCTATTTCAAAGGTATGACACTAGGGTCTTATTAGCCTATATAAAGGCAATATGACCACCTGCCTACTAATGAAACAATCATCTGAATCCATGGAGAACTGGTGGAGATATGGCTAGATCAAAATGCCTGATAGATAATCATTAGCTACTATGGATATCCTGATAATATTTTATTGATAGGAACATTGACCCCACCATTCAGATATCCCTAGTAGTACTTCAATCAGCTCTGTGGCCTGTTTAGTTATAGAGATAGAGGGTTATCAGTTATATCTCAGCTAGTGATTGACTAGTCCAGACACCATCATTGAGCTGTCACTATAGGTTACTTGATGAAAGTTGTCTGTATAGACAATATATACAACTTTGGTTTTGTGACAATCTGTGACATTCTGTGATGACTGTGTCCTATAGTAAAAAATTCCTTTTTTGGAAATTTGTCATGTATCACTCTATGTTGCAGTATACAACCAGATCACATAGTCACTAAAACTACCAGCTCTACTATTTATTGACAAAAGTTCCTTTTTGGGATGTTGTGTCACATGTCACATAGTGTGACTCCGGGAGACCTGGTGAAAATATATTATTCACCTTTATTCACCCCTACATGCTGGACTTAGCGAAAATTTGCCTTGGACTTCACAATTATTCACCCCCTTCACCAACAATTATTCGCCACTTGGGGAATTGCTAATAACGCTGGGGCTTATCAGTGGCAACCTGCGTCGTTGCCACTGATAATGCACCTGTTTGTCCCAAAAATGACTGTCAATTCGCAGTGTTGACCCAGCGTGGTAACACTATGAAGCAACACAAATTTGCATGGTTCTCATAGAAATGAATAATCTATGGATAAAGGAATGAATAATTATAAGTTTTTCAAGTTCTTTGGCTGATTTTTGACTAAGTCCAATACATTGTAGGCTTGTCAGTGGTCTATATGGTATGAATAATTTGAATAATATCCTTGAAGTCTATATACTAATGAGATAATTAGTAGGGAATGAATAATGATGATCAATTAAAGACCTGAGAGACTTGGCCTGAGTTCAGTGCTGTTACACCGTGTCACAGTCGTGACAAACCTGTGGAAAAGGAAATTTTCACCATTTAACAGTACAATCATCAGGGAATGTCACAGATCGTCACAAAATCAAAGTTGTATATTTTGCATATACAAACAACTTTCATTAAGTCACCTACACCGCCAGTTGAATAGTTATGCCAGCACTAGTCAATTACTAGCTAAGCTACAACTGATAAGCCTCTATCTCCATAACTACTTGAGGTAAACACATGATTCAAGTACTACCAGGAAGCTTTTGACCAGTACCATTAATTGACCATGGTCTTTGATCACTATCATACCATATGATGACTGTATTTAGTTCTCAGTCATAACAATAGGAATATCTGGTACTTAAACTAATGTGTGGTAGGTGACTCATATGTTCACATACTTCACACCAGGGCTCTGGTATTTCAGCTTCAGATCCTGAGTGAATATGATGTCAGTAATGCAATGTATCCACACATCAGTAGTATTTGATCTTCATCAACCCTGCAAGATAACCATAGATCTCTAGCTAGTTAGGGCAGATAAAGTTGGGAGAGTGCTCATTTGAAGGGTATAGCACCCTAACATTATCTTTTTCATCTAGTCATCTCATTTGGTGCCATGACATCAACCTATTGACTGCCAAGTATGATTCAATACTGAGCTAGGGAGTATTTTGCTGATATCTTGGGACTACATCCATGAAATCCCATGATCTAAGTTGATATAGTGACATATGATGGTCCACTATAATCCCACCCATTTCTGATCATAC